ACTGAATAGTTTATAGGAGGAAGGCCGTCTTAAAGAGCCATAGATGCTGCCCTACCCCCCTCACCTCCCTCCCCCCCTCCCCCGCCAGGCCCCAAACAATGGCAAAGTGGATGCCACTTATAGCGCAAGCCTGCCTCACTGGAATGGAGGCATACGGGCTCTCACGCAGGAGCAGACATGTGGGATTCTCATTTCTCGGTTTGTTTTGTTGTTTTGCTCAAGCCACAGGCCCATTGGCCTCATAATCCCCATTCCAGACAGACTAAGAGTTACAGCTGCCAGATGCATTACACGGGCACCCACAAGCCTGCAGAGACGCTTGCTCAATCCTGACTTTTAAACCTGCCCCACCTTGCAGCTGCCTTCAGGTCGCTGCACTGATCAGCTGTTGAGAAGTGGGAGGGGGCAGGAGAACTCAGGGCTGAGTTTCTGGGTGGTGACTGTGACAGGCTCTGAGGGGATTCCACCCAAGCCCTGGAGCCCTGGAATCCCGGGACTTCACCCACCATCACCCAGGATGTGGCCGGCCACCTGAGGCTGTGGGTGAAGATGCCATGAAGTGCTGGGAGCTTCCCAAACTCCAGGCAGGGCTCCTGAGTGTAATACAAGGAGGCAAGACTAGGCTGTGTTCCACTCACTTTAGGGAGTGGAAACCAAGTCAGTCACAGGCACTCTGTATACACAGAGTGACTGTGAGGAGGAACGAGGCCTGGAGCAGAGAAGAGACACTAATCATGGTAGTAAGAGTAGTAGTAATGATGGTAACTACCAGGCATGAGGATTAAGCTAAATATTCATTTATTTTATCTTCACAATAATTCTATTGGGGATGTTATTATTTACATTATACAGATGAGGCTTCAAGTGGTGAGCTGCTTTACCAAAGTCATACAGAATGGTAAGTGCAGCATGAGGATCTGAATTCGGCGGTCTGATTCCTGAGCCCAGCCTGTGGACCCTGCGCTGCCCAGGTCAACCTTGTCTAGGCCTGGAGAGCGTGTCCTCCCTCACCACTGGAGCAGGCCAGCCCCTGTGGTGGGTGTGGCCCCCCTAAAGACCATCTGGCAAATTTTGCTTGCTCTGGTTTCCCATTAAACTGCTTTTGGATTGCCTTCCCACATACGGGCGCGGGGGGAGGGGGGCGGCCAGGATCTGCCAACACAACAGCTGTATTTTTCATTAGTAAATTAATAAACTAGCTGCCTGGTTCACACACGTATCCATTTCTGATATCCTGGTTAAGGTCAGCCTACCCCAGACCTGAAGCCCACAGTGTGCCAACTTAATTGAGATTCTGAGCGTGCAAGGGAAGCCCCCGGCATGGCCTGTGTGCCAAGGAAATCCCTCTTGGCCTCCTCTTGCAGACTTGGCCAGCCTTCCCCGGTGACAGCCTGGCTCTTCGGATCAAGCTGCCTGGGCAGACTGCGAGGGTCGCCTGCAGAAAGAAGGAAGAAACAGTGCCAGGTTCCAGTGTGTGTTCCAAGTTCCACATTCTGCCTGCGGACTCCAGGCGCCGGAGCAAAGGCTGGCCCTTGGCTGCGGACTGGTAAGGGTTCGTCTGGTACATTTTTCCTTCCACACACATAAGCTGGGGCTTCCTAGATCTCCTGCTCTCTCTGCTCACCCAGGGAGCCTTTTTCCCCCCCTAACCATTTAGTTGACTTGTCTTATTTAAGAGCAGAGAATGTTTTGCTCTATTTACAAAAGTGCAGTCTTAAAAAAAAATTACATCCTAAATTAATGGGGGAATTTTCCTTTTAATTTCTAATAGCAGTTTGTAATTTTGAATCCAGAGTCTTGGTCTTTGTCACCATCACTGGATCATTTTTCACCAAGCTTGGTGCATCTTTCTGGGACAGCATTCTATTTTGTTATTGTGTTAAAAACAACAACACATAACATGAAATCTACACTCTTAACAGATTTTTAAGTTACAGCACAGTATTGTTAGTATTGTAAACTATAAGCACATTGTTGAATCTCTAGAACTTTTTCATCTTGCGTGACTGAAACTCTATACCCGTTGCCATCAACTCCCCAACTTTCCCTCCCCTTTGCCCTTGGCAACCACCATTCTATTTTCTGCTTTTATGAATTGGTCTACTTTTAATACCTCATGTAAGTAGAATCATGCAGTGTTTGTCCTGTGACTGGCTTATTTCACTTAGCATAATGTCAAGGTTCATCCATGATGTAGCAGCTGACAGGATATCCTTGTCATATTTTTAAGCCAAAATAATATACTGTTGTATGTATATACAACATTTTCTTTATCAATTCAACTCTCAATGGTACTTAGGTTGTTTCCACCTATTAGCTTTTGTGAATAAGGCTGCAATGAACATGGGGAGGGGGTGGCAAATATGTCTTTGAGGTCCTATTTTCAACTATTTTGGATAAATTCCCTGCAGTGGGATTGCTAGATCATATAGTAGTTCCATTTTTAACTTCTTAAGGATCATTCATGCTGTTTTCCATAGCTGCAACACCATTTTACATTCCCACCAATATTGTACAAATTTCGCCACATCTTTCCCAACACATTATTTTCAGCTTTATTATTTTGGGGGGGGGTAGGGAAGGGGTGAATAATGGACATCCTAACAAATGTAAGGTGATATATCATTGTGGTTTTGATTTGCAGTTTCCTGATGATTAGTGATGTTGAGCATTTTCTTATATACCTTTTGGGCATTTATATCTCTTCTTTGGATAAATATCTATTCTTTAATTTTTTTTTTCTTATTGAGTTGTAGAAGTTTCTTATATACTTTGGATATTAATCCCTTTATCAGATATATGGTTTGCAAATATTTTCTCCCATTCCATAAGTTGCCTTATTGCTATACTGATCATTTTATTTGCTGCACAGATTTTGAGTTTGCTATAGTCCTATTTGCTTTTGTTGCCCATGCTTTGGGTATCATGTCAAGAAGTCATTGCCAAGACCAATGTTATGAAGTCTTTCCCAATGTTTTCTTCTAGGAGTTTTATAATTTTAGGTTTTATATTTAAGTCTCTAATCAATTTCAGTTGGTTTTTATGTATGCAGATTATTTAATTTTCCCAATGCCATTTGTTGAGGACACTATCCTTTCTCCACAGTCTTGGTACCCTTGTCAAAAATCATTTCACTGTGTGTGTGTGGGTTTATTTCTGGGCTCTCTGTTGTGTTGCATTGGTCTATATGTCTGTCTTTATTGTGCCATACTATTTTGGTTACTGTAGGTTTATAATATGTTTTGAAGTCAGGAATGTGAGACATCCAGCTTTGTTCTCTTTCAAGATTGCTTTTGGCTATTCAGAGTTCTTTGTAGTTTCATATGAATTTTTAGGGTTTCTTTTTCTCGTTCTTGAATTTGTAGAGAGTTTTGGGTAGTATGAACATCTTAACAATATTGTCTTCATTAACATTGGATGTCTTTCCATTTATTGTGTCTTCTTTAATTTCTTTCAGCAGCATTTTGTAGTTTACAGTGCACAAGTATTTAGCTTCCTTGGTTGAGTTTATTTCTAGTATTTTGGTTTTTGTGGGTGATACTGTAAATGGGATTGTTTTCTTAATTTCCTTTTAGATTATTTGTTGTTAATGTATAGGAACACAACTGATTTTGTATATTGATTTTGAATCTTGCAACTGCTGAATTTGTTTATTAGTTCTAGCATTTTATTTTTGTGGAATTGTTAGGGTTTTCTAGATATAACATCATGTCAGCTAGGAATAGAAATAATTTTACTTTTTTCTTTTTAATTTCGACGCCTTTTATTTCTTTCTCTTGCCTAATTGCTATAGCAAGGACTTTTAATACCTTGTTAATAGAAGTGGTAAGAGTGGCATCCTCGCTTTGTTCTTGATCTTAGAGGGAAAAACTTTTATTTTTTCATTGTTGAGTGTGATGTTATTTCCTTTTACTCCTAGTTTGTTACTTGGTTTTTATTATGAAAGGGTATTGAATTTTCTCAAATTCTTTTTCTACATCTATTGAGATGGTCATGTAATTTTATCCTTCATTCTGTTAATGTGGTGTATCACATTGATTGTTATGTGTATGCTGAACCATCCCTGCATCCCAGGGATAAATCCTACTTGTTCCTGGTGTATGAACCTTTTAATGTGCTGTTGAATTTGATTTACTAGTATTTTGTTGAGGATTTCCACATCTGTGTTCATCAGGGGTATTGTCTTGTAGTTTTCTTGTAGTGTCTTTGTTTGACTTTGGTGTTAAGGTAATGTAGGCCTCATAAAATATATTTGAAAGCATTTTCTCCTCTTCATTTTTTCGGGGGGGGGGCGGGGGAGGAAGAGTTTGAGAGGGATTGGCATTAATTTTTAGTTTTAGTAGAATTCTCCAATGAAGTCACCTGGTCCTGGGCTTTTGTTTGTTGGGAGGTTTTTTGTTGTTTTGTTTGTTTTTGTTTTTTAATTACTGATTTAATCTCCTTACTAGTTATAGCTATGTTCAGATTTTCTATTTCTTCATGTCTATTTCTTCAGTCATGGTAGATTGTATGTTTGTAGGAATCTACCCATTTCTTCTAGGTTTTCCAATTTGTTGGCATATAATTGTTCATAGTAGTATCTTGTGATTCTTTTTGTTTCTGTGGCATAAATAGTAATGCTTTTTTGTGTATTGAACCATCACTGCCTAGAAAACTTCTGGACTAGGTCTGTCCTAATTGTCTCATTATTATTTGATGACAAAAGGTGGTAAGCATAATAAAGAGAGAACTCTAGGAACCCAGGTTCAAGTCTTTCTTCTTCTGAGGAATGACCTCGGGCAGGTGGCTTTCCCTCTTTAGGCCTCAGTTTCCTCATCTGTGAAATGAGCAGCCGATAGATGGTCTCCAGGATTTTTTCCTTTGGATGTTGACTCTCTCCTTCCTCCCCTCATGCACTCCACAGCTAAGGAAGTGGAACTCCTAAAACTCTGCCCTAATCAAAGGAACCAGAGGGTCTGCCAGCTCTCCCTCCACCTCCCTTTCCAGGAGCAGCCATGGCCGACGTGCAGAAGCGCATTAAGCACATGATGGCTTTCATTGAGCAGGAAGCCATCGAGAAGGCAGAACAAATAGATATCAAGGCTGAGGAAGAATTCAACATCGAGAAAGGACGCCTTGTGCAAACCCAACGACTGAAGATTATGGAGTATTATGAGAAAAAGGAAAAGCAGATAGAGCAGCAGAAGAAAATCCAGATGTCCATCATGAGGAGTCAAGCAAGGCTGAATTTCCTGAAAGCCCAAAATGACCTCGTCTCAGAGTTGCTAAGTGAAGCAAAGCTGAGACTCATCAGGATTGTGGCAAACCAAGAATTCTACCAGAAGATGTTGTATAAACTGGTGCTACAAGGTCTGTTCCGACTGCTGGAGCCTGAGGTGATTATACGCTGCAGGCCACAGGACCACCATTTGGTTGAGGATGCAGTGAAAAAAGCCATCACTCAATACAAGACAGTCTCCCAAAAAAGTGTGAATGTCCACCTTGATCTAGAGGTGCACCTGCCTATGAATGCAGCGGGAGGTGTGGAGGTCTACAGTAGCACCCAGAAAATAAAGGTTTCCAATACTCTAGAGAGTCGACTGGATCTCTTAGCCCATCAAAAGATGCCAGAAATCCGAAAGGCCTTATTTGGAGCCAATCCCAACAGGAAGTTTTTAATATAAACCTCTGGGAAATGAAGCTCATGTTGAACTTCTGAGCCATAAAAGCATGTTATTAAGGCAAAGAAAACTAGTCATGTTTCCTCTTCTTTGTTGCTCTGATATCATTCTATCTTCTTTTAAGAAATACCCTTTGAATAGCTAAAGGCATTCTACTTTGGAATAAAGCCGGACTTAATGCTTAGAAATCTAATTCCAGTTCATCCATCCATACCACAGCTTCTGCTCAGCTCTGCAGTCTGGTTGAAGGGAGTAAAGACAAGATGTCTGTTCTTTAGCTCATCCTCATGGTGAGATGTGAGTGGTATTTTTGGCTTATGGGTCTGAGTGCTCTAAATTTCTTTAGTATGTATGTGAAGAACGTTTTCCTTCTTTTGTTTCAACAGCCTGTACTTACGTTGTTTAAAGAGATTTAGAGATCTTCCTCTTGTGTACAGGGTCAACTCCATGGGCATATGTGACCAGTGCAGTCACTCACACAGGGCTCCCTGCCCAAAACAGTTCAGTGCTTGGGGTTTAATGTTCTGTAACCACTGCCTTGAAATTCTGTTTAAAAATTTTTTTTAAAATTTTATTGATTTCAAAGAGGAAGGGAGAGGGAGAGAGAGATAGAAATGTCAGTGATGAGAGAGAATCATTGATCAGCTGCCTCCTGCACACCCCACACTGGGGATCGAGCCCGCAACCCAGGCATGTGCCCTGACCAGGAATCGAACCGTGACCTTCTGGTTCATAGGTTGATGCTTAACCATTGAGCCATGCCAGCCAGGCCTGAAATTCTTAATTTAACTTTGAATGTGTGTTTTGTAAGTGAAGCCCCATGTGGCTTCAGAGCATGAACTATTGCTTGGAGCCTTGGCTCACACATGGTGCCAACTCCCAAAGCCTACCCATCTCCCTCGGATGGGTTCTTAGCCACCACTTCCCAGCTTCCTGTGTCCCAGCCTTCCTCTTCCTCACCCAGTAATATTGCTGCCCTCTGCCACTGGTGAGGGCCTGGTGTGCATGCAGGGAGGGTCAGAGGGGGGTGTACATGCTCTGCAGGGTCTTATGACTGGGCATAATAGTGGCCATCAGCACCCTGGCTGGCAGCTCCATTCAGCAGGTGACTCAATGAAGGTGAGCATCTCGCCCACCAGATACTGAGCACATCCTGGTGTAGAGGTTTAAAGACCCTGGGTTCACATGTCTGCTGTGGGTTGGGTCAGCCAGCCTGCTGTAATGGCAGATGCTGTAATGGCAGGACTTCCCTGACCCCAGCCAGCACATAGCACATAGATCTGTGGGAAAGAAGACACAGCAGTGTCAAGCTACTGGGCCTGAGTCTCAGGGCGGGAACTTCAGGAGCTTATGAGGGTCTGTACTTGCCCTTCCAAGTATCCCCATGACCGACAGAGTTCCCATCAAACAGCTCAGTCAGTGCCTGAGGAGACTTGGGGTCATCTCTTCCCGCCAGCTTGATGGATATTCTGGGAGAAGCCAAGAAATACACACTGTAGGTTTGGTGACTCTCCATTTGGGCATGGCACAATATGAAGATAAATAATAAAATTCATGCTTATGATTTAAACTTTTAATTTTTATTCCCTTAGTCATTAACATTGTAAATAAAAACTATGACAAATCAAAAGAGAGACTGCAGAAACAAGGAAAAAGCTTTATAGTTTAGTCCCTCTCCTTGTACTTTTTGAACAAAGGACACCACATTTTCACTTTGCATTGGGCCCTGTAAATAATGTGGCCAGTTCTGCATGGTATGGTGATTTAGAGTCTAATGTATTAAACTCTAAAGTTAGAGTTTAATTTATATATTAAAATCAAAGATTTTTAAAGAGGAAAAACCCCAAGTAACTGCCAACAGCAAAGGTTGGTTTGTGCTGTAAGGACTGTATAAGGTACAGAAATTTAGGGACAGGTTATTGCTCAACAGGGTGCCTCCCAGAACCAAAGGACAGGACTCTATCATGGTCTCAGGAGAGGGCTGGACGTGGGGCTCAGAAAGCCATCCGAAATTCCCTGCGTGGCCACTTCATTTTCTTACTTTAAGGAGTGACTTTCTCTATTGTGCAGTTTAAATGATGGAATAAGCATGCCCCACAAAGTTTACATTCCCAATTTTACATGTTGTGGTTCCAGAAACAAATGTGCTTCTCTTGGAGTTTGTTCCACTTTCCTGAGTCCCTTTGGCCCAGCTCAGATCAGATGTCCTCCTATGGTCCAGTTGGTATTCAGTTCTCAGAGAAAAGGGGGTCTTTGTCAGCTAGACAGAGTCTCCAAAGGGTATCTCCCATGTGGGCCCTTGCGAGTTACAAATCTCTCATTCAATAAACGTTTTCTGAATGCCAATAAAGAGCTAGCGAGGCCCTGTGCTAGGTGCTGGGGGGCAAAGAATGCGATCTGGTCCTGTCCTTTCACTAGTCACAGACACACAAACATTATCATGAGGATCATGATAATGATACAACGTGGAAAGGCCAGCCTAGTGCTATATACAAGGAAGAGAGGGTCATAGAAAGCTTCTGGGGTATTGGCAATGGAGCCAGGGAAAGTACTCCAGGAAAAGGGGGAAAGCATATGCAAAGGCCCCAAGGAGTGAAAAAGCAAGTGGTGTTAGAGGAATGGTGTGTGGTTCATTGGGATGAGTGTGAGGGGTGAGTGGGGAGTGACCATGTTGAAGCTGGGAAGGCACAGGAAGCTTGATGAGGTGGTGCTGCATGCCCTGCTTAGGAGTTACACTGATTCTGGTGGGGTGGGGGGGAGGGGGAGTGAAGGGTCATTGAAGGACTTTAGATAAGAATGAAATCATGGAAACTGGACTTCTCAAAGATTATTTTAGTGTCACTGTATGTGGAAGGCACATTGGAGGGAGGGAGAGACTGGAGGTAGAAGCCCCATTAGGAACAATCTATCAGCCCAAGTGAGAGATGATAAATACCCTACCAGCTCTTGTGTGAGGTCATCAAATTCATTGATACATAGACTGGAAGAGATTAGAATCAGTGACCTGTATGTCCTATCCACTCCCGCCTCTACTCCTCCTACCTGTCCAGGCCCTGAGGCTTTCCATCACAGTTTCACACTGTCTTACAATTTTTTATCAGGGTTTCCCTACTCTCAGAGACTTCTGCCTTCTCTCCTCCCACCTTCTCTCCTCCCACCTTCTCTCCTCCTGCCTTCTCTCCTCCCACCTTCTCTCCTCCTGCCTTCTCTCTTTCCACCTTCTCTCTTCCTGCCTTCTCTCCTGACTTCTCTCCTAGTCATCTTTCCAGGCCCAGCATAGCAGTCCCTTCCCAGCTGACCCAGCCTCCAGCTGCTGCTCCTTCTGACACCTGGAACCCCATTTCCTGATGTCACCCAGGAGTGTCTGGACCCCATTGGCCTACCCCAGCTCTGGCCCCCTAAACTGGCTCCCATCCATTACTCGGGCGTGACATTAATTCATCTCCAAAAAAATAGTCAGGTTTTATGAAAAGTTTAGTGCCTGTGGGGCAACATTTCCCTTAAGTCCCATTTAAATATCTGTTTCCCCCCAATTTTCTCTCTCCCAAAGCTGCCAGACACTCTCTCTTTCCCCTCAACCTTCTTCTTCTCAGCCCTCTCAACCCATGGGCTCCAGTCTCCTCCCTCATAATGGCCCCTCAGCAAAACATAGGCTGGTGGCCCACCACGCCTGGCAGCCTACAGTCCCGGCTGCAAGGACAGCAGCTCCATCGAGTACTTCACCTTCATTTACTAGGAGCCTCTGTTTCCACTTGTCCCACCTTCCTAGACTCAGTTCCCCGTGGGCAGGGACAGTGTGTCTTCTTCCTTCTCTGCATTCCCTGCTGCCTCATTATTTCAGTTGGATGTGCACGTCGTAGGTTCTGAACAGACATTTCTGACTGCTATGTCCTTCTTTCCCGCCTGGCTCTGCTTCCTGAATGGAGGCCTCCGGAGTCTCTCTCCTCTTCAGCCCCTAGATTGTGCCACAGAAAGGGGCAAGGATGGGAGATGGGGGCAGAGGTAGGGAGAATGAGGGCCTGCACTGTAGTCCAGGGATGGTGCTTGACAAGAAAACCCTTCTCTTCTGCTCCCTGGGGAAGGCTGTGGATGGGCGGAGCCTGGATACTGTGCCCCTACCTCACATCATCAGGGTTTGGTTACCTCCTGGGCAAACCTGGGACCCTAGTGCATCTCTCCCTCCCTCGGAAATACATGGGGGAGGAGGTTTGCTTTGGGCCTGGGTGCAAAGTTAGAGGCTGGGTCATCCTTAGGGGCCTCAGCCATGGGAGGCGAACCTTAGCCTTTACCTTTCTGTAGCCCCAGCGCTAGCCTTGGCCATCTGGTGGGCTGTTTGTCACCATTCTGATAGCTGCACTCCCATAGGGGTCTCTGCTTTAGAAATGCATGCACTGGCACTTGTTAGTTGGCTGGTACAAATGTACAGGCATCCTTTTTAAAAAAAATGATGTATTATTGAAAGTAGTACATGTGTCTCCCCCCCCCCCATTGACCCCTTCTCGCCCACCTTCCCACCCCAAGCCTTTACCACCCTATTGTCTGTGTTTATGGGTTATGCATATATGCATACAAGTTCTTTGGTTGATCTCTTCCCACCCGCCTTGTTAACTGTCCTATCCTCAAGAAGGCGCCTTTCTCCTTTTAGCTCCTCAATCCTCGTGAGCAAACTGTTACAACCACAGGCAGGCCCAACCCTCCCCACCCCTTTCCTCATTAACACTTCCTCCTGAGGTGCAAGGGAAGCTGTTTGCTGCAGATGCAGACAGAGGCTGTGCTGAGTTAGGGCAAGGCTGCTTTGGTAGGCTCACTCCCTGCTGGGGGAGGGCTGGAGGGTCTGAAACACAGCCAGCCAGGCCCTGCCCCTCACGGAGGCCTCCACCCCAGGAATCTTGTTGGCAGGGGTGACTGGTGGAGGAAGAGTACAGAGTTCTGATTTTGAGCTGCCTGGAGAGCCAGAAGCAAAGGGGATGCCTTGAGCATGGACTGCAAGCTCAGAGAAGGCAGGGAGAGCAGACCGGCAGAACAGAAAATGCCGCAGGGCTTCCTCTCTGTCTC